GCTCCCCCGCAGGGTGCATTGCAACGTTTAACGGCGCATCTTTGTACATTCAGGGAGATCCTAGCAAACCAGTGGTCATGCAAGGATATAATGAAGCGCGTCAGATTAAACAATTTCCCTGGGACCAGTTCAAGGATAAGCTAAGCCACCTGGATGATCCAAATCGACGGTTCCAAGCAGACGCGCTGGTCAGGGAAATGATTGAGGACGATGAGGCCGCCGCTATGTTATTGAACATGTATTATGCGCAGAAGCGCGGTTATTCGTACTTTTTATACTCGTACAGCAACGTGGGTGGGTGGAAGATAGATGGTGCATGTAGCCATAAAGGAAGTTGGATTCCTTCTCATTGGTGTAAGGTTCAGGCGATGGAGCATGCGATGGGACTTCTAGGAGAGAGTAATCTGTTCTTGTGGATGGATGCAGATGTCATGGTGCGCAGCATGAATACAGATCTGCCGCATTACATTGGCTCTGCGAGCCGTTGTCTCGGTGAGGAGAAGCCGACAAGCAACGTGTCAGTGTTCGCCTGGGTAAATTCTCACTGGCACTCTTGCCCTTTCACTGGCAGGCAAGCGAACAGTGGTGTCGTGGTTCTGCAGAGAGGGAGCGGCATCCAAGGCACATCTGACATGTATTCCTTTCTGAGGCAATGGTGGCTGAAACGGGATTGGACCCCTGCTGGCGGCAACGGCTCCTGTGACCAAGTCTCTTTCAATGAGGCGCTCGAAGTCTTTCCGTGGAAAAGCAGAGTTGTTTTTGCCGAAGATAATTTTCAGGACATGCCATCGAATTACTTCGCGCACAGGTGTGGAGCGTGCGATTGGATGCCAGCGTTGAGCGTGCTTGTTAATAAGACCACGCATGAGAACAACATATCACTCGATATGTTGCGCGATGTTTTGCTTCACGTAGAAGAATATGTAATCGACGTGCCTTAGCCAAGAGGTTCCTCAGTCGCCGCGATCTTTGCTTGGTAAAGCAATGCCACTACTGCAGAGCCCGAGACAAAGAATGGGGTGATGGCATGGGGAGGGGTAAGGGGAGACCAGGGGAGGGGGTAGAGAGGAGGGGGGGATCCCTCCTCGAAGGGGAAGATGGAAGAAGACGCTCTTGGGACCACCCACGCCCAAAGGGTTGGGGGGTTTCCAGCCGCCGGATCCCAAGGCTTAGGCTGGGCGCGGTCTCAGGACATGAATGAAATCTTTGCAGCAGAAGTTCCCCAAGCATAGCTTGCACTAATTCCCCACATCCTGAGTGGGGTTCTTGTTTTCCCAGAACACCCTCTCCTTCCCACCCACCTCCCGCTCCATCTTCCATACAGCACAATATTATTCCTACCACACACACCATACCATACCATAGTTCCTACCACACATACCATACCATACCATACCATACCATACCACACCATACGTATCATACCGTACCATACCATACCATGGCGTGCCATAGCATACCAACCATATCACACCAATGCCACACCGTACCATACCATACCGTACCTCCAGTACCATACCATACCATACCATGGTCCTTCCCACCTCTCCAGGGAGGCCCCGCCTGAGCGAGGAGGGTATCGGAATACCATACTATTTACATGGTTTCGTGCCCCTCCCACCCCTCCAGGGAGGCCCCGCCTGAGCGAGGAGGGTATCGGAATACCATACTATTTACATGGTTTCGTGCCCCTCCCACCCCTCCAGGGAGGCCCCGCCTGAGCGAGGAGGGTATCGGAATACCATACTATTTACATGGTTTCGTGCCCCTCCCACCCCTCCAGGGAGGCCCCGCCTGAGCGCCTGAGCGAGGAGGGTATCGGAATACCATACTATTTACATGGTTTCGTGCCCCTCCCACCCCTCCAGGGAGGCCCCGCCTGAGCGAGGAGGGTATCGGAAAACCATACTATTTACATGGTTTCGTGCCCCTCCCACCCCTCCAGGGAGGCCCCGCCTGAGCGAGGAGGGTATCGGAATACCATACTATTTACATGGTTTCGTGCCCCTCCCACCCCTCCAGGGAGGCCCCGCCTGAGCGAGGAGGGTATCCGAAAACCATACTATTTACATGGTTTCGTGCCCCTCCCACCCCTCCAGGGAGGCCCCGCCTGAGCGAGGAGGGTATCCGAAAACCATACTATTTACATGGTTTCGTGCCCCTCCCACCCTCCAGGGAGGCCCCGCCTGAGCGAGGAGGGTATCCGAAAACCATACTATTTACATGGTTTCGTGCCCCTCCCACCCCTCCAGGGAGGCCCCGCCTGAGCGAGGAGGGTATCCGAAAACCATACTATTTACATGGTTTCGTGCCCCTCCCACCTCTCCAGGGAGGCCCCGCCTGAGCGTGGGGCCCCGCCAAAGCGAGGAGGGCATCAAGAAAATGGGTCCCACGAAACCGTTAATCTCTTTATGTGGGGAACTCCGTTAGCATTATGCTTTTTTTTCCCCACATCCTGAGTGGGGTTCTTGTTTTCCCAGAACACCCTCTCCTTCCCACCCACCTCCCGCTCAATCTTCCATACAGCACAATATCATTCCTACCACACACACCATACCATACCATAGTTCCTACCACATACCATACCATACCATACCATACCATACCACACCATACGTACCATACCGTACCATACCATACCATGGCGTGCCCCTCCCACCCCTCCAGGGAGGCCCCGCCTGAGCGAGGAGGGTATCGGAATACCATACTATTTACATGGTTTCGTGCCCCTCCCACCCCTCCAGGGAGGCCCCGCCTGAGCGAGGAGGGTATCGGAATACCATACTATTTACATGGTTTCGTGCCCCTCCCACCCCTCCAGGGAGGCCCCGCCTGAGCGAGGAGGGTATCGGAATACCATACTATTTACATGGTTTCGTGCCCCTCCCACCCCTCCAGGGAGGCCCCGCCTGAGCGAGGAGGGTATCGGAATACCATACTATTTACATGGTTTCGTGCCAGGGAGGCCCCGCCTGAGCGAGGAGGGTATCGGAAAACCATACTATTTACATGGTTTCGTGCCCCTCCCACCCCTCCAGGGAGGCCCCGCCTGAGCGAGGAGGGTATCGGACATGGTTTCGTGCCCCTATACTATTTACATGGTTTCGTGCCCCTCCCACCCCTCCAGGGAGGCCCCGCCTGAGCGAGGAGGGTATCGGAAAACCATACTATTTACATGGTTTCGTGCCCCTCCCACCCCTCCAGGGAGGCCCCGCCTGAGCGAGGAGGGTATCCGCAAACCATACTATTTACATGGTTTCGTGCCCCTCCCACCCCTCCAGGGAGGCCCCGCCTGAGCGAGGAGGGTATCGGAAAACCATACTATTTACATGGTTTCGTGCCCCTCCCACCCCTCCAGGGAGGCCCCGCCTGAGCGAGGAGGGTATCCGCAAACCATACTATTTACATGGTTTCGTGCCCCTCCCACCCCTCCAGGGAGGCCCCGCCTGAGCGAGGAGGGTATCCGCAAACCATACTATTTACATGCTTTCGTGCCCCTCCCACCCCTCCAGGGAGGCCCAGCCTGAGCGAGGAGGGTATCGGAAAACCATACTATTTACATGGTTTCGTGCCCCTCCCACCCCTCCAGCGTCGCGAGGAGGGCATCAAGAAAATGGGTCCCACGAAACCGTTAATCTCTTTATGTGGGGAACTCCGTTAGCATAATGTTTTAAAAAATCATGTTGGCATTCTTGCCGATGCCTTTTGGGGCGTCTTGGGTGCCTCTGGGGGGCCTCTTGTGGCCTCTTGGGACCTCTTTGGGGTCTTTGGTTTGGGGAGCCTCATGCTGGCATTTTGGGGGCCTCTTAGGGGCATCGTGAGACCTCTTGGGCATTTCTTGAAGCCCTCTTAGGGGGGGGGCATCTTGGAGGAGATCGATCAATGGAGGGGGGGGCTCCTGAAATTATGGCTCCCCCCTCAGGAGGCCAAAAGTGACCAATGCCTCCGCAACATTAATGATGTTGGCCTTCTCGCCGAGGCCTCTTGGAGCGTCTTGGGTGCCTCTGGGGGGCCGCTTGGGGCCTCTCGGGTCCCTCTGGAGCGCCTCTTGGGAGCCTCTTAAGGGCATTTTGGGTGCCTCTTGGGGGCCTCGTGGGGCCTCCTGGGCACATTTTGGGGCCGTCTTGGGGCACCCTTTGGAGACCCGTGGGCCATCTTAGGGCCATCCTGGAGGAGATTGATCAAAGGACGGATCGTACTCAATTACGCCCCCTCCTCCCCCCCGAGTCAGAACTGTTGCCAATCCCATTTCTCAAATCAATTATTTTGTTTTCCGTATTCCTCGCCGAGACCGTTTTGGACGCTCTAACCCCTCACGCCCCCCCCTCCAGGTCCAGGGGGAGGGAGTCGTGGGAGGGGTAAACCCCACCCTGAAGGGTAAGAAGGGGAGTTGGAAGATGAAGCTCTCTAAACCACTCACGCCCTAAAAAGGGCTGGTGGGATTTTGGCGGGGGGTAGGGGGGAGATGGGACGGGGTGGAAAGACAAGTCTCAGCGGGGGGGAGGTGCCCTGGGACCCGGAGGACTCCCTCAGACTCCTCTGCGGCGTCTTCAGCGCGACGTAGATATGCAGGATTGAATTTGCGCATTCTGGGCGGGAGTTTGACTAAAATCTTGGCGCGAAGTCTGGCGGCGAGAGGCACTTGGGGGGCAGGGCGGAGGGCAAGGGCGAGGAGGAACAGGAACTCTGGCCTTGCTCACGATGGCCCAAGATCCGGCGTCGCGGAGCATGAACACCACCATACATTTTGACTCATTATTTTTGTTGCATTTTTGGTGATGGGCAAGTGTGTGGGTCGGGGCGGCGGAGAGCGGGGCAAAAACGGCTGTCGTGATCTCCAGACTCCGCGACCCCAAACACGACGATCCCACAGATCTGAAGGCAGCTCGGAGGGGTCGGGTTTCCCTGTGACGCTCTTGAGCCTCCTCCAGCCCCCCGGAGCCCGCTGGAGCCCTCCAGCCAACGACGGCGACGACGATGACGAGCGGGATCCCGCCCAGCGCCGCCCTCGACGACGAGTTCGCACCGGTGGTGTCGCCGCCGCCGCCGGAGTTGGCCAGGTGGCTGGAGAAGCTGGAGAAGGAAGGCCGCCCCCCACGAACAGCACAAACCATGGCTGATGTTGGAAAAGACCCTGAAATTTTGTCGCACCGTCCAGCAACTACACATGATGAGTAGCTGGCCCTGTGGAAGGTCCCAGGGTGTGGGACAAGTTTCCCTAAGGAAAGAATTCCAGGGGATGTCTGCGGACATCTGGTGACCAGACGTCCGAAAACATCCCTGGCCCTTTTTCCTTACTCTGGACTGTTTGGGAAGTGCTGGCCCCCCCAGGACCCGTCGTGTTTTTTTGTTTTTGCTCTTGTTGGGGGTTACTTTCTCTCCGATCGCTGTCAGCCTCGGTTTGTCGTCACGCCGCGCCAGGGGTCGAAGCGCCTTCGGCGCACGGTGGCTGTCCGCGGCGGGGCTTGACTTGGGGCTATCAGCAGGGGCGGCGCCCCCCCTTCCCCCACCTGGCGCCCAGGATGGAGCTCGGAGAAGACGTCTGGCGGCTTGAAAAATTCGTCACGCTTCGCGTGTCCCCACCAGCAGTGCCGTTTGCAGTGTTGTCGGCACTCTTGCGCCGACACGATGTTTTGGCATTTGTGTCGCCTACAGCACGGATGTCGTCCGGGTGTGCCTGTCGGTCTAGTTCGTCTCTGACGGTGCTGTTTGTCTGACCCGCACCGAGCGATCGACTTCTGCGTGTTTATGGTCGCGCCGCCGCGCCATTTTGGCTGCGTTTATTTGCTGGTCGCCACCGGGATTTCCATCGCCACCGGGTTTGAGAGTATCTGTTCTTGCTTTCTTTCTGAGTGGCTGCCCGTTCGCTCGCTTCGCTTGCTTTTTTTCCTGCTGCCTAGTCGCGGCCCGACTAGTGTTCGGACGGCTTTCGACCCGCCTCGCGAGCCTGTTGACCAAAAAGTATCCCCACCAGCTCGCCCCGCCCTGCGGGGGCGCTCGGGGCTCCTCCGCTCTACCCAGTGGTGGCCTGGGGCCCGCGGCCTCCGGGCTCCCTGCCTCGGCTGGCCCTCCCCTGCGCCCTACTCGGGGGCCCTCGCCTCGCGCGCGTGCCCCCCCGCCTCCCGGGCGGCCAGCGTTGGCCGTCTCTTCTGTCCCTCCCCGCACGGGGTCGACGGACGCCTGGTCCTCCCCCACCGCGCTGCTCGTCCGGCAGTCCTCAGGCTGTGCCCTCCCGCCATTGGCGGCGCGGTCTGTTCGCACCCGCCCTTGCAGCACCCCCGACACCCCCCGGTGTCTGGCGATCCCCATATATCCGTAAGGGCTTCGCCCCCTGCCGCCGGCCCCCGCTCTCGGAGAATGGGCCATGGAAGAGCTAAGTCATGAGGCCTTGGCGCTGTCGTGAAGCAGTATCGCAACTTCATGCGAAGCCGATTCGCAATCAGCAGAACCAACTGATCACAAAATGGGTTACCACACCTGGCGATTGGTAAGACGTGTATGGTTTACGGGCTTGGTTACCACACCTTGCGATTAAAGGGCCGAGGGAGTTCTCGCAATGTGGGTTACCACGCCTTGCGATGGATGTGCGTGAGGGGTGGCACCGAATGTCAGAAATGTGCCAAATCCCTTATGTTTTTGGACCCTGACCCCGCGGATCTGCGTAAGGGGTGGCGCCGCATTTGAGAAATGTGGCAAATCCTATGTGTTTTTGTACCCTGACCCCGCGGATTTGCGTGAGGGGTGGCACCGAATTTTAGAAATGTGGCAAATCCCCTTTGTTTTTTGACCCTGACCCTGCGGATCTGCGTGAGTGGTGGCACCGAATTTCAAAAATGTTGCAAATTCCGTGTGTTTTTCTGACCCTGACCCCGCGGATCTGCGTGAGGGGTGGCACTGGATTTCAGAGATATGGCAAATCCCTTGTGTTTTTTTGACCCTGACCCCGCGGATCTGCGTGAGGGGTGGCACCGAATTTTAGAAATGTGGCAAATCCCCTGTGTTTTTTTGACCCTGACCCCGCGGATCTGCGTGAGGGGTGGCACCGAATTTTAGAAATGTGGCAAATCCCCTTTGTTTTTGGACCCTGACCCCTCGGATCTGCGTGAGGGGTGGAACCGAATTTCAGAAATGTGGCAAATCCTTTATGTTTTTTGACCCTGACTCCGCGGATCTGCGTGAGGGGTGGCACCGAATTTCAGAGATGTGGCAAATCCCTTGTGTTTTTGTTGACCCTGACCCCGCGGATCTGCGTGAGGGGTGGCACCGAATACTAGAAATGTGGCAAATCCCATGTGTTTTTGGACCCTGACCCCGCCGATCTGTGTGAGGGGTGTCGAGTTCGAGCTCCCCCAGCAATTCAGACAACGCGCCCAGGAGGTGCTAAATATCTGGTTTGGGCCTCCCCCCCCTCGCGCGGTCAATCAACTAGTTACAGAAACCAGCAAAAAGCAGAACTGTAACACTGGAAACTACCAGCTACAACTGGTAGAGGAAACTGCGAATCCCGCTCCTGCAGCCTGGTGGCCCCACAAGGGGGCCGGCGGATTCCGTTGAGCGCCCGCATGCCGGGTCGGTTCCTCCGAGACGTTGGCCTGCTGTCCTACGTTCCGCGTCCCTCGGCCTGCCCTGGGCTTGCTGTGCGTCATGGTGGTGGTCTTCCTCGTCATGGACGTTGTGTTGGCCTACCCGAATTACCACTTGGTGCTGCACGTCGCCCGGATGGATTTCCTGGCGTGCGCTTTTTTGTGCGCGGCAGCGAGGCTCGCCTCCTGTTTGCCTCCCCCCTTGCTTGGTCTTGTCTCTTGTCGCCTTCCTCTTCCCGTGCGCTAATTTTGTCCGTCGCCTCTGTGCTTCGCCCCTTGACGCTGCCCGACCTTTTCGCCGCGGTCGCGATCAAAAATCCCCACCCGCCCATTCAGGAGCCCTGTCTATGAGAATTGGCGGGAAATGGAAAGAAGAGACACATATAGTGAAACATGCCGTACAATGAGAGGGGGGGAGGAGGGCGTGGAGCCATCTTGGAGGCCATCTTGGAGCATCGGACATTTTGGAGGGCGTCGATCAAATAAGGACGGGTCTTCGGCGTCGCCGCCCCCCAAACAAGAGCCATCAGAATCGCCTTTTTGGAACCAACTCAAGGCTTTTTTGTTCGATGTTTGGGCTCTCTTGGGGCCATGTCAGCATTCCAGTATGGGTGTAGTGGTGGTTTTGGTTATGGTTCCGGTTTTGGTGTCGGTTCCAGTTCTGGTTTTGGTTCCCGTTCCGATTCCGGTTCCTGTTTCAGTTTCGGTTTTGGTATTGGTTCAGGTTGCTTTCTTCTTCAGGGTCCTGAAGAAGATTCCCTTAGTCGCGGTTTCGGTTCCCGGTTCTGATTTCTGTTTTTTTTCCAATGTTTTTTGTTTGTTTTCTTGGCTTTAGTTTTAGTTCTGGCGTTGGCTATGTGTTAAGGCCCAGTCGAGCGACCACCCCCCTTTAAGTTTCGTTCAGTGCGTCGCCCGAGCGTCGCCCGCGCGCCGGCCCTGGTTTGCGCCCCTGTCCCGAACCCCGGCCTCCCAGAGTGCATGGGCGACATACGGCGCGACTTCGGAATTTCTCTGGCGATATATAGGATTCCAACGCCGGTGCGCCAGCAGCCATTCTGACGGTCGTGGCGCACTCTCAGTTCGACGGCGACGGTCCACCAACGCGTTCTGTTTCCAAGTCGGCGCAAGAGGATTTGATGGTGCGCATTTTCAGGGGCGCCAACCGTTGTTCAGCACAAAGACGCCTCGCGTTGATTGGGGGCTGTGCGCGTCGCGCCACGGTGGGGGTGACGTCACGTCGCGCGACGCGGCGCCACTTCGCCCCGTCGCATCGCGCCCTGCACCCCCATGTCGTTTCGCGCCAATCCTCCTGTCCCCCCCTCGTCCTTCTCTTCCCCTCGTCCAACGCGCTGCGCGTTTTGCCCCGTTTGCGAAATTTGCATTCAGTTCTGTTGTGTCAGGCTGCCGTCCTGCCCCCCTCTCTACTCGCCCCCCCGTTGTCCTTCCACCCCCCTGGAACTTCCTTCTCGCCCTCCTCGCTCCCGCCGCCTCCCTTCGATTGCCGGCCGTCGCTCCCGCCGCCGCTGCGCCGCCCCCGCGCGCCCCCCCCTCGCCCGTCCGTCCCCTTTTGCCGCCCGCCCTTCCCTCGCCCCACTTCCACCCTCTTTTTCCCCCCGGTGCATCGGCGGGCGAGACGTCGCCGCATTGCTGCAGCGACGAACCGATGTTCAAATGCTAACGGGGCGTGCGCTTGACATGGATTTGTCCGTGCGTGCATCTCCATGTCGTCTCTTGGTCTCCTCGCGTTCGTAGTTCTCACGTGCGGTCTCGCTATTTCTACGATTGCCGCGCGCATCCCTTGATTGTTTCGCCGGCGGGCCGCGCAGTGCACATGCCGTCAGAAGTCCATGGCGCCCTTCGAGCGATTCGCGCGCGACCTGCGCGCGACGCGCGAACGACCCGAACGACGCTCGCGCGACGCACGCGCGACGCTCGCGCGACGCGCGCGCGACGCACCCCGACCCGCGCGCGACGCGCCCGTGCCAGCGCGCGACGCACGAGCGACCCGCGCGACGCACGCGCGACGCACGTTCCACGCGCGCGAAGCAAGCGCGACGCACGCGCGACGCACGCGCGACGCATGCGCGACGCAGTCGCGACTTTGCCCGCCCCTAGCATTTCTCCGAACAACAATGCGCAACGGCCGTCGGACCGCCGCGCTTGCCTTGTTCACGAGCGGCGGCGGCTGCGTCCACCGTTGCGCCAGGAAGGGCGGCGCTTGCCCCCGTTCCTTTCCTTTCCCTTCCTCGTCGTCCCTCCTCTTTCGTCATTCCTCCTCCTTCGTCCTCCCTCCTGCCTCGTCTCCCTCTCTTCTCCCCTTCTCCTCCACCTTTCTACCGGCCCCCCTCTGATTGCCCCTCCCCCTTCCTCTCTCCTCTTTGTTTTTTTTGCCCCCTTGCCACCCCGCGCCCCCCTTCGCGTTCTCCTTCTCTTTCGGCCCCCCTTTCCACGGCCGCGGCGCATCGCCGCGAGCGGCGCCCCCGACTTCTGCGCGCGGCC